TGAATAAATCGTCTTCCAAATTAATGGGTAAATTTAAATTAATATCTAATGAAAATTTACATCAGTCCTTAATTCTGTTTGTATTTTTAGTAACTAACGTAAGTTGTTGGTTTATATTTTCTGGTTAGTAATTCTTATGATCCATAATGTAGCATTTTAATGCAACAAGCTAACTAGATTAAGGTGGAAACTTTTAAAATATAACGAAGAGAATAACTAACAAAACAAATGACTTGAATATATTTAGAAAACGAGTCACCTAGTATTTAAAGCGGCTTACTTCCTATCAGTTAACTGGTATTTTGAATTAAGTTTAGTTTTCTATGGGCTGTTTTTTCTCGGCAGCTTGGTTATCATTAGTTGTGTCAAATGAACTCCAGAATACTTGTAGTTGACTAACAAAATTACCGTAAAATTTGACTTACTATCTTCTCACAAGATTTTTAAGTGCCATATTGACTACTACTAGACAGTTATGATCAAATAAATATGGAATCTTTTGTGAGAAATCCTGTACATTTTTGAACAAACTACTTGATTTTATTAAATTTCTCAAGATCTACATCTGTCTTGTACTATACCTGTTTAAGATAGTGAAGTTAACAAACATAGAACAATGAATCAGGTGTCATTTATTGATAAGAAACACTCATTAAAATGTCAACCAACATAAATGGACCAATATGGATAGGTTGCTATCTTTTTGTTATTAAAGCAGAAACTATGCTCATTCCAGGGCTCAGGCTACATGCCTTTCATATTGGGCATTCAAAGAAAAACGTGCTTGGTTCAAGTCACTAGATGAATAACAACACGGGTACAGCTACATCCACATGGTAGTTCTTAAATAGGATGAAGGGCATGCCCTCAATTTCAGCGGTGGCCGCAACCTAATTTCGTTAAAAATACCGGGTCTAGATATTTGTTTTGCAAAACTAGGTAAGTTACTTAAGCTATTGTCTATCTTCACTGTAATAAAGCAATAAAAACTGCCACCTGTTCGTTAATCTTAAACGTAATAGCCGGTTACTGATGTTCTGCTTAATAAAAAAAATGAATCAATCTGAATGTATTATTTCAGGATGTATAAAATACTAACACGACTTAAAGGACTAGATTTACAACAAGCATATCGTTTATGCATTAAATTAGGATTTGTGCACACAAACATTATAGGTAGACACATTAAAATTGTGCGAAATTTATTGTTTTATGCCTGTAAAACAGAATTGATAAATAATTGTATATAATGTCTATAGTTTCACTGAATGAATCATTTTAAATAGTTGATAATGAACAATAGAAAATCTCTAATCTTAGTTTGATACTGGTTGGTAATCGTCAGGTACTTAAGAAATTTTTGAGGGAACTGATGTTCTCTGTGTAATGCAAGTTCAATTGTACAGATGGAGAGGAAACCTTGAAGCACTAGAGGAAATGAATGACATTTGGTGAAACTTTCATGTTTATATTAATTAATATTATAGTGGTATTCAGTTTTCCATCTGTTTGTGTGTGTTTGTAACCTAGTACATATTTCCTAAAGACATCTGATTATATATATGTATATATATCATTGTATCATTTAGTGTATCTAAATTCAATAGCTGCTTACAAGACTAAATTTGATAACTGATTGTATGAAATGAAACTGATAGATCAAGACAGAAATTAATTCAAATAAAAACAACGACTTGAACTATAACGAAACATTTATTTATTTATCTAATACCCACAAGTGGCTAGAACACTCTGCTATATACGTATGTACTTTTGAAGGACCCAGAGCAGAAACACAATTAGAAGTATTCATGCAAAGCTGGAAGTGTGACCAAAGTGCCTAGGGGACAATAACTTAAAGATATTCACAAACATTCATTTGGTGAGTAGCCCATTGTCTTTTAGTTTCACTGTTTAAAAACGTTACTAACAAAGGTAGAAATATGTGGGTCATGGTGAGGTGTTCAGTTGTATGGGCTGACTTATTCTAATCTCCTATTTCCTTTGTAAGAAATCTGTAAATAATAGTAATCTGGGCAAAACAATTTACAACCAACGTAAGTCTGTATATATAACAGTATTTATCAGACATAGGATACAGGCTTGCTGACTTTAGTCTGGCCCTTCTCCAGAATACATACCCAATATGCTAATACCTAAAGAAATAAGCAGTCCAGCAAGAACAGCTTGATATGGGGTGGGAAATTGAATCAATGTACATATGTTCTACAATTCACACTATTGACAGCTGGTTGTCTATTGGGATGTAGAAAGCGATTGCACTGTGTTGTAAAAAACAGATTGAGAACATTGAAGTTTGACCTCGTGCACCGAATACACGTGTATACAGCCAAATCAACAAAAGCAAAAGTGATGAGACACAAAAATTGTAACATCCTTGTAGCCAAGTCAGTTGTAAATACATTAGGATGCTATACAAATATGTACCAGTCTAACACACTATTTTTGGTAGAGGAAACAAATAAGATGTAAGGCGCAAGTTTTGAAATAATAATTTCAGTGCAAACGGAAAATCACACACAAAAGGTATAACTTACAATAAATAAAAATTTCAAAAAGTCAAAGCTAAAAAATGATATTTAAACTCGATGTCTTAAAAAAGATGGAATTTCGCTGTACTGCCAGCGATTTTTGGCAACATCACCCATGATTTTCAGGTATGTAAAGTTGTTTACCTCCACACAGTCTTAATAGTAAATAACTAAGAACCAGTGTAACTATTCCTCTAAGTGTGTTAATTATTATTTCAATAACCAGACCCAAGACTGGAGCAATAATCAGTCTGTTTTTCTTTCTACTTTTATCGTTTATCTAATTTTCGGCCTATTGTTCAGTGAGTTCAAACGGATGTTTACCTTAATCTGCCAGTTTCATACTTTGTTGTACTATTACTTTACTATATTTTGCTAATAGCAGTTACGTGGTCACGCCAGTTTACGCTTTTCATAGAGAATGCTGATAGCTTTAAGCTGAAGGAAAAATCCAAACATAAAAGTGAGGGTTCAAATGAAACGAGCGAAAACACAGAATGAAAAACGCTCTACGTTTAATTTCGATATTTAGGTAAAATAATAATAAATTCAAGTAAATCATTGAGGTCCGTTGAAAACCATAAAATCCAATATATTCAGCTGTCGACTGAGATTTTCTTGTGAACCCTCATTCTCTATTGTAAGCACTCAGACAGTCAATAATCTTAGGGACAGATGCCTTACTTTAGGTTCCTCTGCACCGACTCCTGTGGCAGTTAGTATTTTGTATGTGAGCTAGTTGTAGCCTGATATAAGAAATGATGTCCCGTAGTCAATTAAATTTTGGAAGTGCACTAATTAAATCACAGCCTCTAGCTAAATTATTGTGCATGACTTCACCGTTACTGGTAGTATTAATCTAGTAGAAGAAAGAATATATCTTAAAAATACATCCTCCAAATCTCAGGCTCAACCATTGTCCCAATCTATCTTAACATTAGGCTAATAAAATTTAAAACCATAACCTTGAAATGAGTTATTCAAGTGCGGTTTTAAAAAGTACTCTTTTATAGCATCAAGTCTGCTTTATATTGCATATTTAAGTTTTATTCTTTTTGAGCTATAATTATGATTACTTTTAATTGATACGAAATCTACTTAGACTATGATAACTGGAACGTTTACTGAACGTACTTGTGCTGTCATACATTATTTGGCCACGGTATTACAGCCTGTTTTGCAAAACGCATGTTATCGGGTTAGATTTATTAGGCGTTACTGGTTAAAGCGTTATCAAACTCCAAATAGATGTGGCACCTTCAACAACTTCATCAATTTATGTTCCAGGCTAGAGAGCCATGTGTAATGTTCTCAGAAAAAATTGGAAATATACATGAGTAGTTTGTAGAATTATAACGAAATAAATATGTGCTTTTGCAAGTTGCTGTTCATAGAAATCTTGAAACTCTAATTTTCCGCAAATTACAGTAAACATGGTAGATGATAGTTGAGTGAGAGTACTAGCTATCAAAACAAATTATTTCAAAAATTAATTAACATTTAGTAAGAAGTAGGTTTTGATCACTCTTGAATCAAATAACTTAATTTAGTAGAAATCATCAGTCTCTGAGATTAGTTTAGAGGAATGTTGGATGGTTTTATTTGCTAATATGCCACACACAATTTCGATAAAACTTCAGAGTAAGACAAAATCAGTGTGTATGGCCTGATCAAACACTTCTTTATACGTATTAAAGCCCCTTAAAAGTCAATTTAGCTTGTATTTTTTACTTATATAAATGTTTTAAAGCAGCTAGTTTATGAAAATGTAGTAGAATAGTTTAAAAATTTGGAACGATTTGTTCGCTGAATGATTAGCGAATTTCACCAGCAGACCAAAACGAATAATATCACTGAACTCAACGACCAGTAACAACGAATGCTTTTTGTGTATTTAGATGAAGGATAGATCAGTTTGTGAAGATGGTTGACATAGATATGTTTCAGGTTTTGATACAAACCACTATAACTGGTTCAAACTAAACAGGTTACCAACTTAAAATTAAAAGTCATTAACACAAAGTTATAAAACAATGAAGGCTGACTTTGTGAAATATTCTACTCGGAGCTATTTTAGACCGACAACCACCCGATAAATCTCACAAAGCATACTTTTGCGAGGTACATGTGGAACTTACTTGACCGTTCATTCTTTGAAATACGGCAAAAGATTGTGTTAGTCAACAAAAACACCATTAAAAGTGTGCACTGCGTGTAGCAACTCTTAAATTATCAATTTGTTTTAAAATAAACTTATAAATTTAAACACAAAGTCGTATAGAGTCGTAACATGACAAGTGATTTATAGCCTACATTTTAAAAGCACTCGGTTGTACAAGAGTTCATTTACTCTGAAATATGATTATCTAAACTGTCAAGATTTAAATGAATTAAAAAAGGAGGTGTAAGCAAATTTGACGACATAAATAAGGTTCAAAAGCGACTTACAATCAGTGTAACAGGCCCTCGAATTTTGTAAATGAGGCCACATAGATGAATAACGAAGAAAAATAGTGATATGAGTGCCCCAACTAGTGCAAAGAATGCTAAAAGTCCACCAGTCACAGTAATTCGATAGTGATCAGCAACAATTATTGATACTATGAGACTAACACCAATTGAAAACTCTAGAATCTTGAACACTGCCCTTAGTTCTCTAGCGTATTCAGCATTAAGTTGCATTACTTTATTTATTACTCCTTTCCTACGATATCACCTTCTAACATTCAAAAATTTGAATGAAAAAGAATAAAAACAACATCCAATTCTCAATATCTTCTAAACGGTTCAAATGGTTGAAATGGTTGTGAACGGAATAGAAGAAGCTTTCGCTTAACAGGCTTCCGTGTCTAGTAGCAAAGGGTTACCAAATCCTACAGGCAGGAACCTAGGTATGTCAACAATAAAAGAGGAAAACAAATTGGTAAATCACAGTGTGATGCTGTCCTTGGTTCTTAAGAATAGGTCAAGTTGCCTCTTGAAGGACTCCTGAGAAGTCGCTTGGACTAGCTCGGCCGGCAGCAAATTCCAGCTTTTGACAACTCTTAAGGATGGGAAGTTATGTCTACATTCCGTTTTGCTATGTTGTGTCTCCAGTTTCTGGGTGTTACTCCTTAGGTTATTATTCGAACTAAGCTTAAGTAGGTTTTTAAGAGGATGTCCAGAAGTGTTAAGAATGCTATAAGCCATCAGAAGATCATCTCTAAGACGCCTATACTCTAATGGGTAAAGGTCTAGCGCTCTTCGTAAGGTTTAGATTTGAGTCCTCGAACTGATTTCGTGGCTCGCCGTTGGATACGCTCCAAAGTGACCTTGTCCTTTTGGAGTGAGGGAGGAGTACTATGTTTCCGTACTCTAAATGGGGACAGATGAAACTATTGAAGATTGTATGGAAAGTTCGTCCGTCAAACTGTCCAAAATTGCGCTTCAACGTTACCAGTGCAAGGTTTTCTCGGAAGGCATTTTTGTCACAGTTAGCGTCAGACCTTAAATCATGGGGCACTAGGACTCTTAAATCTTTTTCGACTTGGGATACTACTAGAGAGGAGTTTCCTAAGTTGTAGCTGTAGTTTGTGACATGTCGCAGATGGACTACTTTACACTTTGAAGTGTTAAACGTAAGTTAAATATTCTAGTTGCTGATATCAAATTGAAGGCGATTGTGTGGTCTTTTTAAGTGATATGAATAAATGTAATTATGTAAAGTAAACCGAGGTACGTAGGTAATTTTCTAATACAATTAAGTGAGGCGTCGAGATAACTTCGAAATGCTTTAGGCGACAATGCTGTGTCACGTTTGGTCATTTTCACGATTGTTTTTATAGGTAGGCTTTTCGTAATGAATCATCACATTGAATAGATGCCGATTAGCTGTGTTTTATTCGATGATATTGGACGTGAATTTTCAACACTGTTTGTAATATGATACGGATCAACAAAAACATTATGATCCATCCATCCGTTTTATACTTATTATTCACCCTTTAAACTTATAAGCGTTGACGATCAGTTCCCACCGACGTCAATAAAAAGCGACAAAAACATAATTTCGCAACAAACTACGTATATATTCTGAGCCTGATGAGGAACGGAATAAATAAAATGTGAGGGTTTATCATATATCACCGTTTTGTATAACCATTAACTTTGGCAGATAATAAAGGATGCTAACTACTCTGAACTCAGCCTGACTAGGAGTAAATCCCTAAGGAAATATAATCGATTGTACATCACATTTTTATCACTTTTTTTTCACAAATGTACTTAAAGTGCTAGATTGCTAGTTTTTTCGATGTGCCTTGGTTGTAAACTGGAGTGACCGCAGCATCGCTTAAGACCGCAGATAAAATATAGCGTAATGGGTTTCAGTTATATTACGTTAAAAATTATTTTCTCACTGCCCAATACAGCCAATAATCAGAAGTGTACAATAACGAGGAAATAGTCCCCTTTGGTGCTAAATAAATTTATAAAGTAAGTAGTTGTGTGTGTCCTCGACATTAATCAAGAGCTCAGCGCTTTTACTGGGCACACGTAGCTGAAGGCAGTTGGTCGCGCATCCGCATCAGATCACGAGTGAGTATGCCATTCTGCACATACCTTCCAACTGCTGGCCAAATTAAATAAAATGCTTGTTAATAGATCGACGACTTATCAAGTATATCTTCAAACTCATACGTCCCTGACTTCTGATTTGACTAGGTAGGTATTTTTTGATTATGAAGATGTGATAGACAAAAGCATTGCCAAACCTCGAATATCTATAGAGTCTTTACTGTTTAAGTGTTTTGTTTGTGAAAATCCCTCCATGTATACACTAGAAGTTTGTTCCTAATGATTACCTTAGTTGTACATTTTGTTAGTCTTTCTTATTTCATTTGAGTTAGTAATATTTGTATTTTATGTTATGACTTTAAGTTGGGTCGACTTTTACCCTGTGCTAATTGTTGTGTCCTTGACTGGAAAAATTAGAGTAGCGTATTTATCGATCGATTACAGTGACATGTAAACACGTACGGACGGCCTAGAGTCTCGATCGGTCTCGCTTCCCTGTCTAGCCCAGTCAGTTGAATCCAGAACACAAGTCACAAACTCTGAGATATGAATCATTATATTTCAAACATACTTTGTTTATATACCAATCAAGCATACCACATCGTACCATAAAATAGAAAACAACATTTTGTACAGTATTCAACAAGTGAACAGATATCGACCAATAGGAAATGTCCATTTAAAGTCCAAGGACACCATTGGACTTAACATGATAATTATTGGTCTATTCCTCCGCATCCACAACATTTTATTATAGTTTTTATTCTTCTTACGCCTTCACTAAGTTTCCGTGTTTCTTCTTGAAATCCATTTGCTTTGTTTTATCTGATACTTATTAATATTTATTTATTTTAACACATAGATATTGTTACAAGGAGGCACCAAATATATATGCGCCACACAAATCTCATTCGATATGTGTGAGGGCTGTGATACCGCCCGGATGCCCAAACCGAAGCAGGTGGTTTACTTAGGGGGCCACTCCCCGAGCCTTCGACGTAAAGGTTTGATCCACAAGGCAGTGGAGCGTCGTAAGGAGATGCAATCCAATGGAAGCCGGTGACCAACAATTGGTTCGTACGCCATTTGTTCCCGCAGGACACCGGAGCCCATGTGCACCATTGGTTTGGAATCCGGTTAAAGCGACAGACATTCGCTTTTCGTCCTCTCATTTTCGTATACAACACCCCCACCACGAAAAGGCAGTGAGTAGGACTTCCCTAGCAGCCATATCGGTTTGTTCCTCCTTTTTATTGTATTGCTTGTATTGACTGGAATTGTGCATTTTTTTATTAGGAATTGAAGCACTCTTCTGGAATCGGAAGCGCTCTGTGTTTTGTGGTCAAAACGTTGCTTCAGTCGGATATCTTCATTGATGTTCATAATATAGCGAAGAAACAGTATGAAGGACATTTTCATTTGTTTTTCTCTGTATTTGCATCAGAAGAACGATTATTTATTTCTTTTTCAGATATGTGAATCACAGTCAAGAACATTCCGAAACGTAGTTTAACAAGGAGAATTTAGGTAGAAAAATCAAACGGACTTCTGCAGGAAGTCGCGTTCGTGGGATTATAATTATTTTTTCCGAAACGGTATTCAGTACATGAACACCTTTTCTTCTATTTGGTGATCAGGTGAAGCCAACTAAAGCTGCTGTATTTTCAAATTTCATTTCAGACATCCATGAACGTCTTTCCTGAATAAACCAACGTAGCGCATCTTAACTTGGTGGATGAAAGAAGCGAATAAGATACAACTCAGCCTGAAGAAAGGAGAATTAAAAATATGCTCCAACATACCACCTTCAACAAACGAGGCTTAAAGTACCCACCATTCATGTGTTTTTGTTACAGATGTCATTCATTGAAAAATGACTGATCCACAAATTTTATGATATTCAGGCTAACTTCAGAATGTATTGTCGATGAAGAGGTGTCGATACATTTATTTTTTCGTTATGCTAACATTACTATTGATAGAAGAAACCTGACCAATGGTGAATAGATCTTTATTCAGCTCGTGGGAAAGTTACAGTGGAGCGTTGCCTATTCAAACTCACAAAGCTTTTCAACATCTAATATAAGGTGATAGGAAATATAATGTCTATACAAAGTAAGGAAGTGAATAAATACTAGAGCTCTATTGTTTCGACATATTTTTGGTTTTTTTGAGGTAAACTCTTATATAATTAACCCAAGCTGTAACAGTAATATTATGAACTGACTGAACGTGTCAAATTTTACCACACTCGAAACATTTGGCATTATGCATTGCACGCGGATAACGTGAGTGAAACTTGCCACTGAACAAACGTTTACCGAACTTGTGCTCATCTTCGTGATCTGTTTCGCAACTCCTCAGTTAACTGCTATCTGATAAATTTCAGTAAACACTCGATTGGGATAACGTAATAACGCAGTGGAGTTCTTGATAACCTGACGAATCATTTTACGAAGTTGCCCTCTTTTACCGCACTAGAAATTTGTGCATTTTACATGGTCTGTTAGTAGTTCCTTGAGGGTTGCGTAGTAAAGTGAAATAGTCTTTTCTGGAAATGCCAACGCTTTTATTAGACTGTAGCTTTCTTTTCTGATGAGTCTAAGGAAATGAGCCACAATATTAACATTCTTAACATTTTTTTCTTGACCGTATTCCAGGTTTCATAGTTTCACATAATCCTCTAAATCATTAAAATCTAAATGTTTGTCCAGCTGTTCCATCAGAGGTTCCATCACGACACCAGTTTTATAATTAGTAGACGAATTATTACACGAGCTAGGAATCCCAGAAATAGCATAGTTTGAACCAAATAGAACTATTTGAGTACAGCAGAACGTATTGTGTTTAGAATTTGAAATCAGGTACACATCAAATACAAAAGAATATTTAGTTCATACAAACACCCCGGAACACCATACCAAAACTAGTGGTCTCCATCTATCAGGATAAAAGAAATTGTTACATAGAATTTCCTTTCCACGTATTACTACAGGCTATTTATATAAGACTGTTCTCTGCATAGATCAGCTGTTGCGTTAGCCTCTGAAATATTAAGCATTATATAAAATAACTATGATTCACTAACTCATCAAAACTGTGAGAGCAGTATCTAAGTCACAAGTAAG